GCTTCCACCGCGTATTAATTACTCGCCTCTCTGGGGAGGTAATAGTTAATTTACAATTAATTGCAGTACGTACAGCGGTAATAGTCTGTGTCTAGATCAGCGTTCGGTTTGCAATTAAAATAAAAAGAACATCCTAACTGTTTTCGTAAATTAGATTTCACTTTGCAAAGTTATTATGCCTTTTTTTTGGGGGGGGGGGGGGGGCAAGTTCGTAAATTAAAGAGCGCGTGTCTACTTACAGACGTGGGGGGGGGCCGTTATTTGGAGCGTGTGAGGCTAATGAAGTGTTAATATAAAGCCTGCTTCCATACCCATTCTCCTCGCAATGCCATCAACCCTCTTTCCCAATCCTTCCCACCTTCGCATTTCTTCTTTTTAAATCCTTTATATTAAGTTCACTTGCTTGCTTGCTTACGACCGTGCAAATCTTTCGGTCGTTTTTTTTAACCCACTTCCCGTGATCCAATCGAGCTGACATTTTGCACACAGACTCGTTGTGCGAGACAATTAATGTTCGTGAAATTTTTTTTCCAAAATTTTACACTGTTTAGGGAAAACAAATTAAATATTTAATTACCAATCGCTTAATACTGGCAGACAATCATCTGACCCATAGGTGGCAGCCATCTCAAGCCAGAGGACGAGAGGACTCTAGCCGCCACGCATATAAAGGATTTATAGTGAAAAACTTTGTTTTTACGGGTTAATTTTTTCCATCCCATTCCCATCTGGTCACATGCCTTCACGTCCAATCCCACATCTTACCATCCAATACCTACCCGATTCCATCCAATCCCATTTAAACCCATCACATCGATTCTTATCAAAATTCCATCCACTTCACGTGAATTACCTTTTCTTAGAATCCTCTATAAAATGTATTCGCATCTCGCTGCCCTCCATCCCTTATCATCCACTTGTCATCCTCTCTAAACCCACTCCTGTCTCTTCCACTCCAGCCTTATTTGATCCCATCCTATTTCAGTGAAATTACCGTGCCACCACATCACGACTCTGAACCCATCTCGTCCAATCTCATCCCACCCCTTCTCGTGCTACGACATGATGTCCGTCTTTCCACAAAGTACCTGCACTCTTCATTGGAGATGGCGCGTCCCGTCCTGCGATGGACTTCATTCCATGTGAAGTGAAAATAAATCCCACGGATCGAGTGTATAGCCGCGTGATCTGCACGTGCAGCCACGCAACACACGCACACACACGGGGGCCCCTAACACGACAATACATCTTCTTGGTTCTTTCGGTAAAGTCACCACGTAGAAGGGAAGTAATAAAATAATAAAAATAAAACATAATAAATAATTCTCACGACGTTTCGGCTACAACGCAAGCAGCCGTCTTCAGGTGAAGAATGCAAGTTATTATGTCACCTGAAGACGGCTGCTTGCGTTGTAGCCGAAACGTCGTGAGAATTATTTTATCATGTTTGATTTTTTATTACTTCCCTTCTACGTGACTTTACCGAAAGAACCAAGAAGATGAATCCCTGCAGTCACGAAAGCTTTAAAACGACAATAAATGTCAACATCAAAGTTTAACGAGAAACGTTTGCAATAAATCCGAGCTTTAAAAAAAAAACATTCAAATAAAACATACTTCGGGTGCCAGACGTGAAGAGCATTCGTTTCTTTTGATTTCCGAGCTTCAACAGATATAGCCAGATGCACGGACGGAGGGCCGCTATAATTTATGGTGAGATGAGAGCCCCGGTGAGAGCCGAGGAGTGGTGGCTCCCGAGGGGAGGCAGTTCACCAACACGGCGGGGAATCGCACCTACCGCGCGACCATCGTTTAAGCCTACCTCACCTATTAGCATCGTTTTTATTGTTACCAGGTAAGACTCCACTGAGCTGCATTGATCTTTTTTTCTAGAGGCGACCTGGCCACAAATGATAGCTCAACGGAGCGGCCCATCGCGTGCAAATTCATTTCGGCCAAATACTCTAAACGCAAGTTGATTCCCTATGAGATGTTTATTTGGACTGTGCCACGCAATGACACCGTGCCGCCTGTACGCTCGCGTGTTGACACGGCAGAGTGAATAACAACAACAATAACAACAACAACAATAACAACAACAATAGTAATAACGCAACCGCTTTCGCTTCTGTTTACCTCTTAGGTACCGACTGGACCTGACTCACCGTGGTACGTTCACTTTCTTACGTATTTTGTTTCACATTCATTTACATATCATTGGGGATTGCTGGGGGGGGGGGGGGGGGGGGGGTTAATTCCCCCTGACCCCCCCTGACCGCCGCCCCCGTGCCTTATGATGAATATGGTTGTGTTCAGAATCAGAAGTTTAATTCCCGAGTCACGCCCGCAGAGCTAAGAAGCTCTTTTTGAAAGGCCAAACTCTGCCGCAAGACACCTTGCAAAATATTCCACAACTACGCATGTAAACAAACATAAACACACACTTGATACGGTCAGAGCAATTATGTTGTAAAGCTGCATTCGCACTTAAACCTAGAGTGATCTTAACAATTGAGTCAGTTTAAATGAGGATAGAGATGG